GAACTCTATTAATTTGCATTTAAATAAATTAATTCAATTCAATAATCTTTTTTTTTGTGGAAAACTAGATATAAAGCCTACAAGTAAATTAAAAAAAAATTGCGCAAAAATATGCCAATAACATGAAGTTCCAAAAAAAAAAAAATGGTTGTTGTATTTATTTGTTTACTAAAACCTAAACTCGCATTAAATGTGTGGTTGCGCATGACAAAATCTGTTAGTTTGCATAAGTAAAAAAGAAAAAAAAAAATATTAAAAGTTTTTATATAGTATTTATTTGCGCTTGTCAGTGTGTGTGCTGCATTTGTTTGTTTTGCAGTTTTTGCTATTTAAGAAAAATTGAAACTGTAATTATTTATGCATGAAATATGGATGACAAAAAATATGCCAATCAAATGAGTGATTGCTTCTGCTTCTATGCATTAATGTAAATTACTTTACTTTTATTGTTGTTTTTTTTTGTTTTTTTTCTTTTGTACTTCTGAAAGTATTAATTAAATTATTAAGTGCATAATTTGGAAAATTTCAATTTGCATTATTCATAATATGTAAATATGATTTTTATATGAATAAATAAAATGAGCGATTGCTCATTTTTTTCTCACCTACGCTATTCATTTATTTTATTTTAATTTTTTTCATAATTTTTTATTTTTTGTTTAATTTATTTCCGCCTTTATTTATACATCACTCTTCATAAAATGTCTCTTTGGCATAATATAATGAACTCAGCGCTGGCAGCGCAGGCAAAATATTAAATTCAATGTTTTTTTTTCCTGTTATTATGAATAAAAATATTAGATTAAAATAATTTTCTTATTATTTATTTAATTTGAAAACTTGAGTTTTTGTTTTTTCGTCAATAACATTTCATGGGTACTGGATTAACGTTTTTCTGCTGAGTGTTCATTTGAAGTATTATCCGCAATATTAAATAGAAGAGGGAGAATGTATAATTGTACACTAAAATGATCTTACTCAAACAGAGAAATATTTAGACTAACTGTTCGTCTTTTTAGTTCTCTAACCACCTTTGAGCGCTTCATATTGAAGAACTACACGGCTTATTGGAATTAATAAAAAAAAAAACCGTTTTTTCTATAAAAAATAAATTTAATATTGTTTTTCTATAGATGCTTGTAATAGTTTTTGTTATTTTTATTAAAGGATAAATCAGTTTTATTTAATTTTGCATACTGTTTTTAAAAATTCAGGCAACCGAAAAGTTGTTTTAGAGATTCAAAAGCAATAAAAAATAATAATAANAATGTTGTTTTGCTGAGTGTTCATTTAAAATATTATCCGTAATATTAAATAGAAGAGAGAGAATGAATACTCGTACACTAAAATGATCTTACTCAAACAGAGAAATATTTAGACTAACTGTTCGTCTTTTTAGTTCTCTAACCACCTTTGAGAGCTTCATATTGAAGAACTACACGGCTTATTGGAATTGATAAAAAAACCCATTTTTTCTATAAAAAAAAAAATAAATTTTATATTGTTTTTCTATACGGGCTTGTAATAGTTTCTGTTATTTTTATTAAAGGATAAATTATTTTTATTTAATTTTGCATACTGTTTTTAAAAATTCAGGCAACCGAAAAGTTGTTTTAGAGATTCAAAAGCAATAAAAAATAATAATAATACTTATTCCAAAATTGCTACTACTGCCTGCAATTATCCTCTTATCATGGGATGCAGCGAAAACGTATTTTTCGTATTTTTTTTTTTTTGTATTTAGAAACTATGTTAGATTGAGATCTGAAAGTTGAAACATGGAAAAATTGTTTTGTTCCCAATTCTTTTAAGCGCTTAGAATGATACCCTTCTTGCGCCGATTCACTACACTTAATCCGGTAAGGCCTTCGGTCTTCTGATTTAATATACGTTTCTTTAGCTGGAATTATATTATTTTAAATTCTCCACAATTCTAACCTTAATTGGAATAAATTAAGAAATAAAATACCTCCAAAAGCCTCTGTATTCTCCACTTACTACAATAATATGTAGAAAGGCCTAGTTCGACTAAAAAGAATAAAATAAAAATGTTCTTATGAAAGCAGAGAGCACAGTGAATTTTCGCTGAAGAAAATTAAAGGACATCAAAAGTGACCATTCACAAGAACAAGGAGAAGTAAAGTAATTTCCAATCGAAGAGTTTGCATTAGTCTAATTCGACCGCGCTTAGAATGGCACTGGGGTTCATAAATTTGATTCTTTATGAGAAACCTTTATTTCATGTCAGAAGTACACGCGAAGGGCTTGGCATTCCCTGCCGTGTATCGACCGCAAATAGAAAATTTAAGTTTAAAATTTTTATTTAAATTAATTTTCTATAAAATTTGGATTTTGGTAGTACCAGAATTTGAGCCCTAGCCTAGCGAATGGCAGTACGCAATGCTAACCACTCGGCTAAATCGGCCGTCAATTAGCTTTTAATACTATTTATGTTTCAAATAACACGTAAATTACTCCAAATGCGCTAAAATTTACAAACGAAAAATCTTCAGAAGAGAAAATTCTAATTCGAATTGCTGAAAATTAAGAGATTTACCATTTTCAGCTAAAAAAAATTTACCCAACAGAAATTAAAGCACGAAAGTTAATAGATAAAAACAATATTAACATATACAAGTAAAAAGAGGAAAATTTCAATTAGCAGTACTTATGGTTTGGAATTAAGTCACTTTAAAAATTTTAAGCTAAAAAAAATATCAAAAATTGTTAATTTAATGTAAGCTGATAATAAAAATCCTTCAAATTAACCAAAAAAAGAGTCCCAGAAATTTTTTTAGAAACCTAAGTGATTTAAAAATAACACTTTTCACATTTTGAAAGATAAATAGTTCCCAAGGGTAATATTTTTGCCTTCGACTGTGCTGGCGCTGCTTCCCAGCAGTTCTACAAATTGAGCTAAAATTTCCACTATTGACTCGCACACTTTGCACCGTGTGCCGGCGCTAAGAAAACGTTGGGAAACAATATATTGAAAAATCTAAAAAAAAAACTTTTTAAGTTTAAAATGTCTTGGTTTCGAAAGCAATTTCGAGCTGGAGAAACGATGTAATTTTTTTGAAAAAAATAAGATCAGTTATTCAAAAATCACGCAGCTAAAATCGTTTACACCAAAAATCACTTCATTCACATACATACATACATATAGTATGTGCATGCATATTTCATGGAATTTGAAATTATTTCATGCCAAAAACCACAAGCTGATCGCTTTCTTCCCTTCACCATTTCCACTTTGCAAATAAGTAAACAATTTGGATTTTTTTTTATATTGTAGTTTACTGTTTGATGGCTATATTATCGCATTATTTTCGTTTATGTACAAATTTTAAATACAACTAAAAATACTAAATTAAATATATAAATTTCTCATTTATTTATCTAGTAACTAAATGTTTGTATATACTAATTTTTGCGTTCATTGGATTGTTTTTGTTTTTGTTTTTTTATATATATTTATAATACTACTATTTTATTTAGTTATCTATTAAATCTTTTTTTTTTTGTATATATTATATGCAGTTTTTCACAAATGTACGTGTGTTTGGGTGTTTTAATTTCAAATTAAATGCAACGCTTGCAATACTAATTTCGTTTACTATTCGCTAAGTAACTAATTTTGAAACTGTTGCAGTTGTTGATTTTTATTATTATTTTTTATTTTTTTTATATATATTTTTTTTTAATTTCAGTTACTGTTGTTTTTTTGTTTTTTGTTTTGTGTGTTTGTGTTACACGCGCAATGCACTTGAAATTTCACATTTTTCATATTTAACAAAAAAAAAAAAGAAAATTTTTTCACACTTTCTTACGCACAAACTGCGATTTAAGTATTTAAGCATAAACAATGTTAATAGTAATGAATTTAAATTAAATAGTTATTCGCGGAAATAGTTTAGAAATTAAACAATTACTCACTATACATACATATACAGACATTTACAGTACACAATTGTTTATAACTACGTTTTACAAGAGTATGGTACAATATTTTTAATATTTATGTATATACTTATATACTTATTATTATATATAAATTTTTAAATTATTTATTTAATATCACATTGAATTTGAAAAAGTGTGTGTTCAACAAAACAACGCGTCCAGCGAGACACACGCGTCCTGCTGCAGCCGATTGGCAGTAGTTTAAACATTTTTTTTTATTTCATTTTTTTTTTAATTAATTAATTTTTGAAATTTTCTCTGCTGCGCGGACGCTTATGCTGCCGCCACACTGTTGCATACATAACTACATAATTGTACAACTCGATAGATTTTTTACATTTAGTAATAGCATAACTTTTTTTTATATATAAATTTCATATAGTCTTTACATATGTATGTGTGTATATATAAATATTCTTTTAACTCCTATGGAAAGTCTTTTGCTTCTCACATCGAAAATCGTTTCTTCTTTTCTTCTACTGCTACTTCTACGACATTGTTTTTTTTTTTTTTTTGTTTTTGCTTCATTTTGCTTCCTCAGCTGCTTCGTCGTTTCGTTTTTGTGCGCTTTGGATATAATTTTATATATACATACGTGTATGTGTGTAGGTTATGTACATATTCATATTATAAAAACATATATACACGGTGTGTTGAAGGCATGGCTAATTCATGCATGTTGCTCGCTGCATGAGTCTCTACGTGCGGATGTCTGTATATATTCTATGGTAGGTATGGGTATATCGGTGTGTGCCTCTGCTTCGTTCGCGTGTTGATGAACATGTTTTCTACTGCATGATGAAACATATCTTTTTCTATATTACAATAAAAAGTTGCTTAGTACTTTTATGCTTTCGCGTTGGTCCGCGATAAAGATGGCGGCAACGTCCTCGTCGTCGTGTCGTGAATGGCTTGCAAAGCTGCCTCAGTCAAAACTCTATACAAGTAGTTATGTACATACATACATATATACGTATTTATAGTACGTAGTGTGGCAAATGGAAGTGATGGTGGTGGTGGTGGTGATGGTGGTGGTGGTGATGGTGGTGGTTGTTCGTGCTGGCTGTGTGTTGGCGAACAAAAAGCGTGCAGCAATAATAATATAAACGACAACAAAACAACAACAATGCGCGAATGTCAGCACAATGGCACTTTTCAGTTGCGGTAAGTGCGCGCATTCAACTCACGTTAAGCGCTCAACCACAACAACCAGCTCGTCAACATGTCTGCTGCCCCTTCTACGTGTACTTCGTTGCAGCAGTGCTTGTTGTTGTTGTTGCTGTTGCTGTTGCTGCTGTACTCGACGCAGTGTAGTGCTGTTTGTTTGTTGTTGCTGCAGCTTATACTTTTGTGGCTTACATTATACCAAAAACGCCTGTCCATTGTTCTTATTCGCCGCGCTTGAGCTCCCTACTACCTCCGTTGCAATTGTCGCACCACCTGAGCCGCTACCATTGTCCGTTTTAGCAGCTGCTGCTGCCGCCGCCGCCGCCGCCGCCGCTGCAGCGGAAGTTGAAGCTTGCGGTTGGGGCGTTTGCGCAGCCGCAGATGTGGATTGTGTACTCGTACTTGCCTGACTCAAATTGCTACCGGTGCGCAGATGTACGGGCGCTTGTGCGACGGCCTGTTGTTGTTGTTGGTTGGTCGCCATGGTGGATGTTGTCGCACCGCCGCTTAATAAATTCGCCGATGATGGCGGTGCCTGTTGTGTCAGACACATTGATGGCCGCCACTGTTGCTGTTGTTGTTGTTGTTGCTGCTGCTGCTGTTGTAGTTGCACTTATTGTTATTGTTGTTGTTGTTGCTGCTGCTGCTGTTGTAGTTGCATGACCATCGCATGATGACCAGCCGCGCTTGTGCGAGGGTTGTTCTGCGGTGCCGCATGATGATGTACGCGGTAGCTATTGGGTGCGAGTAACTGTTGTTGTTGCGGATGTTGTAGGGGATGATGTGGTTGGTGGGCATGATGTTGCATAAAGGTGGCCGCACTGCCGCCATTTGGTATCATGGATAGCGCTTCTTGTGGATCGTAAGCGCTATACTCTGACTCAATGCTGTGGTAGATGTGCTCGGAGGGCGGACGCATTGGTATCGCATCGACAATGCGTGCGCCATGTCGGCTGGGGCGTGGCGAAGGTGTGGCTGTGGTCGCTGATGAATAGTTGGCTTCCATGTCCTCCTGATAGTAGGCGGGTGGTGGTGGCGCTTGACGGAAGATCATGCCTGGTGAGACGGGCTGCTTGAAGCGTTCGTGATGATCCAGAGTGTAGTTATTGCCGCGTGGCGATAGCTCAATTGGTATGGCGTAGCGTAGTTTCTCCCAGAAGTAACGATCACAGGTTAGCAGACGATTCGATGGCACTGATTTTAGATATGGCGCAAGCTCGGGCACTTCCTCGGCCTCGCTGGAGACGTTCGTCTCTTCGATGATCACCAGTTTTTGTGCGAGTCCACGCAATGCCTCATGGAATGCATTACGGAATTCTAGACGATTCCATTCGGTTGACAGCATATTACGTGTTAGCACCAATATGATTTTACGTGAGGCACGCGCAGCTTCGACAATCTGCAAATGACTTGCTTCAGGCGGCAGATCGCGTTGTTGTATGCATAGACGGAAGGGTGGGCGACCGTGTTCCAGCTCGGCGGCAATATTGCGACAAACAAACTCGTAATCTTTTGCAGAATGCAAAATTATAGCGTCATAGAGTTTGCCCGCATCTTCGAAACGTGGCTCACAAACACGTACGCCATAGTGTGCGAAAAGCCAAACACGCACTGACTCACGGAAGACGAAAACAATGATCAGCACAATGATCAGGAAGATCAAAACCAAGACGGCGGCGAGTAGTGGCACATAGCCGCCTGAGATGTCTTGCGATGCCATATTGCTGGCACTCTCCAACAGCTCACTGCAATCCACACCATTCGAGGCAATCAAATCGAGTTCACGCTTCACACCCGCATCAACACAATATATGTCCTGTGCATCACGTATCACTATCGCATTATCCGCAACGAATTGCGCCAACTCCTGCAAGAATTGGCAACGGCACGACCACGCGTTACGTCCAATAGTCAGTCCCTGCAAATTGTTGCGGTACTGCAAGCTGACGAGTTGTACGATTGGCATGGCCGTCATACGATTATTATCGAGCCGCAACACCTTTAGCGACACTAGCGGCGCGAATGTGGCGTTCGAGATGTGGGTCAGCAGATTGTTGTGCAGGTACAATTCGCGCAACAGTGACAACTGACGGAATTCGTGTCCCTCCAGCGTTTGTAATTTGTTATTCTCCAAATGCAATGTGCGCACCATATTCAACTCGTCGAAGGTGCCATTCGGCACAGACATAACATTCGAGGCATTCAGGTAGAGCGCACGTAAATTTCGTTTGCCAGCAAACACCTGAGCATCCAGAACGGGCAAGTTGTTACCATCCAAGTAAAGGTCTGTAACGTCGGCCGGTATGCGTGCGGGTAGGTTAATGCGATTTTGTTTCCCACAGTCTACAATGTTTGTCGACCAGGTAGCGTCATGGAAACAGGTACAATTGTCCGGACAGACCATTTCGCAGTCGCATTGTTCGAAATCACAGCAGTGGCACGTCGCCGGACAGTGGGTGTCGTATTTGCAGACAAAGTCGCTGCTGCTCAGCGCCGACAGTTGACGTATGGGCGCATTCCGGCTGTGCGGCATTAGGCACTCAATGTTACCAAGATCAACAATGCGTGGATGCTGGCGGGTGGTAAGGTTATTAATGCGTTGTAGCCATTCCATTGAGCAGTCGCACTCGAAGGGATTACCGCCTAAGTAAAACTCTGGCACTGGCTTATCGGTGCCAACTGGGGCGACGCGTAACGAATTTAGTGTGATCTTCGAAAGTACGTTAGCATAGAGATCCACGCGCGCTAAGCGTGTTTTGTCGACGAAAGTATTTGCTTGTATCTGATTGATGATGTTGTTGTTAATGAAGAGCAACTCAATCGAGTTCGGCACTGACATAGCGCTAATCTCGGTGATGCGATTATGACTGGCGTCCAGTGTTGTAACGCGTATCTCTTCTTGTAGCTTATAATAGTTGCCCAACGCTTCAATGTAGTTGCCGTGTATGTCCAGCCACTTGAGATTCGACGGTATGAAGGCATAGTCGAACCAAACTAAATGATTTTCGGAGAGATTCAGCCATAAAAGAGAGGCTAGCGTAGCGAAGATGCCATTGATATCGGTAAGGAAGTTCTTATCTAGACGTATGGCTTCGATTTCCTTGTTCGCATCAAAGGAGCCCCGTTCGATGGATTGTATGCGATTCTTAGCCAGATTGAGCACAGTCAAGCGTGGTAGATCGGTGAACATGCCAACGGTAATATTGCCAATGCGATTATCGATCAGACGCAGACCAGTAAGTTGGCTCAGATTCTTAAATGTGCCATTCTTAAACTCGGATATTTGATTTTCACCCAGATCAAGCGTCTTCAACATCGTCAGATCTTGCACTGCATCAGGCACGCCCACCAGCTGATTGGAGCTGAGATCGAGCTCCTTCAGATCGGAGCAGTTGCGGAATGCTTGCGACTCAACAATGCTAATTAGATTATTATTAAGCGTCAGTTTTGTCAGTACAAACAAACCGTTGAAGATCTTATTATCCAGCGTATGTACGCGATTTTCAGCCAGATTTAGCGTATGCAAATTGTACAGTGGCAGGAAAGCGCCATCTTCAATGTGTCCAATCGAATTATTGCGCATGTCAAGTATTTGCAGGAAATACAGCTCCTTGAAAGTTTTAGCGCCTACACGTGTCAGCGCATTGTTGGATAAATTCAACACAATCAAGCGTATCAGGCCAGCGAAGGTGTTGTTGTCAATGTGATGGCTCGTCAATTGATTACCGCTCAAGTCCAGCACCAGCAGCTGCTCCAAACGATGTAGTAAGCCCTTGGGCAAATCATACAATTCATTGCCCTGCAGATGGATCTCGCGCAACTCCTTATTGCCGGCAAAAGCATCAGCGGGCAATGTCTCCAAGTGATTGTAGGATAAATTTAGTATGCGCAGTGAACTCAAACCAGCCAACGCATTCGGTGCAAACGTGCTAATGTTGTTATGCTGCAAATTCAAATGCTGTAGGCGTCTCAAACGTGATGCACCCCACACATCGGGCAAGGCGCGCAGCTCATTATGTGAAACATCCAAAACTTGCAGCTCGGCGCCACCACTGGCGCCATTCAGCGTGCACATTTTCTCCGAGAAGCCCAAATTCTCAGCGGAACGTATGCGATTCGCCGTCAAATTTAGCACTTGCAAATTTTGCATTGTACACCACACACCCTCTGGCAATTGGCGTATATTATTGTCACTCAAATTCAACTCGTTCAGTTCGCGCAGACCCGCAAATGAGCCCGCTACGATTTCAAGTGATTTACCCGGTCCCCAGACAGAATTATGCGTCTGCACCGAGAGACGCTTTAGTGACATGAGACCATCAAAAGTGTTGGCAGCGAGGCGTTGCATTTTACACGCATCCACTTGCAGTTCGGCAAGCTTTTGCAAACGCGAAAATGCACTGGCGGGCAATTCGCTGGCGTGTAGCAAATCAGTGGAGCATTGTATCTCCAAGCGATTGGCAGTTTCGGCGACTTGTAAGTCGAGCGGCACCAGTGGCTCGATAACGCGTAAATTACACTTGATATCGAGTGTGGTGCGCACGAATTCCCAGGAGCATTGTTGTGCATGCGTAGAGCTGCTGGTGAGGCTGCTGCTGAGTATGATGATTAGTAGGTAGATGAGGTGGCGGCGGAGCAGGCCGGCCGCTGTTGATATTGTTAATGTGTTGGCGGAGGAACGCATTTTGTGTATTTTTTTAATTTTTAGGTGATTTGTTGCAAGCGTATTGTGTTGAGGACGTGGCAGTCGCTCGTTTAATATTTTTTAATGTAGTATTTGATTTTATATTTCTTTAATAATTGTAGATTTTCATTGCATTTGCATTTAACAGATACTGTTGCAAGCACTTGATTTTTGCACATGGCATACATGCAACATGGCGCACATTGCACTTTTTACACAGTATTAGCTTATGTGTTGCATTTTCTTGTATTTTTATTATGTTTAAATGTGTATTTAAATTTTTATTTTTATTTTTCAAAGTCACAGGCAGTTCTAGTTGCCTTAACAGTTTTTTCTAATTTTCAACGTAATCGCTTAAGTCAAACGCGCAAACCGTAATCCTTTGGTGGTAAATGCGAGCGAAGCGATTTTTTTTTCTGACACTTGCAGCAAATGCAGTTAAACACTTCAAATTTTTCTTTCCGTAATTTTATATTTTTTTATTGATTAAATTTCGTTTGTGTTCAGAAACTTTTTCTAAATTCGCTAATTTTTCTTTTTGTAATAAGATTTTAATTTACATATTCTGCACCGTTTCATTTTCTCATTATCAACTTTGAATTCGAACTGTCGTTATAGCAGCGCGCAATATACCAAAAACAAAATGAATAAACTTCAACAACTATTTGATTTCTTTCCTTCCTTCAAGTCTGTTAAACGTGTTGTGTTCGTGCGTTCGCCAATATCAATCGCGACACGAGCGAGTATCTAATGGAATTCAATGAACAACTTTTACTTGAGAACAAGAAACTTTCACGGAAGCGCTGCTATTTCAGAAAACCATGTTTACCGCTTAACGTTTCAAAGAGAACTGATTACAAATTTTGCTCGTTGTGAGTCTGTTGGCTCGCTACGAATTTTACCAAGTTATGTCTGCGCTGCTGCTGCTAGCCATTGCTAGCTGCTGCTACTTACCAAGATACTATTTTGCCAGCTGCTACGCCACTACACAACACACTCACGGTGTTTTCTGTTTCTCTACGTTTGTATGTATGTGTATGCGTGCATTCGTGTATCTGTGTGCTGCAATGAGCGCGTGAGCGTATGGTTAGAGTATGAAGTCGACGACGATGGCGAGAACCAAACAATCAAACAATCAGTGAGGGAGCCAACCAGAGCAACAAAGTCACCACGCACACAAATAACAACAGCCGAGCACCATACACACAAACACGAATACCAGTTGAGCGGCAGAGCAGCATTGACTCTATGGGGAGTAAGTTAGCAAAACACCACGCAAGCAACAAGCAACAACGAAATGCAAAGTAGAAATGTCAGCAGTTGAAGAGTAGAGCAGAGCAGAGAACGAGTAGCAGTGTGGGTATGATGAGTGTGAAATTGTATTGAGTTGGGGGAGCATATGCCCGCAATAGTAGAAAATAGTGAGAACAAGAATTTAAAACTACAAAAGCAACAACAATTTTTGGGATGCATATATGTACATATGTAGGTATGTATGTGTGAATATATGTAAGTAGGTACTCTGCAAAGACTTTGAGCTGTTTGCGTTGTTAAGCGAGTAAGAAAGCTGCGCGAACGACGCGAAGTACTTACATACATGCATACATACATATGTACATAAAAATTAGTATGTAAATATGAAGAAGAGCAAATGCAATGCAGAGTGCAGTAAAGGGTTTTAATTTTTATATTTTTCCATCAAGTGAACAAAATTTCAAATTGAATATAAATTTTTTATAATTTTTGTATCCAAGTTGTTTTTGTAAAATAACATTATTTTTAATATGAAAACGAGAACCGTCACTAGTTCAAGCCTGTAAATGCTAATGTCAGATAAGAAAAAAAAACAACAGACAATTAAAAACAAAAAGAGAACCAACTGCAATGAGAAATAAAAGTAGAAAATCATACATATAGACATACATTGTATATATTTATATGTACAAATGAACAATAAAACATATGCATTGCAAACTCTGCTGCCTCTGCCCTTACTTCTCTATGGCCAACCAACATACAACGCCGCTGCGAACAACGACTGCGCTGACACGATACCTTTCTCAACTCTCAGCAGAATTTTGTACTCACTAGCAACAACACCAGAAACATAGAAGTGCAACAGGAATTGCATGCGTGTAAACAAATGCATATATGTACCAATTACAAAATGTGTGTGTGCGTGTCATAACACCCACACAACTGTATGGACATATATGTATAAGCGTATACATATACGCAGCGTGTGCGCTCAAAAAGTAGGGGAAATATGCATTTGATTGCATATGAGAGCAGAACTCATAAGTGACAGCACAAATGCATTCACATGTAAATATGTACACATGCACATACATACATATGTATGAATGCATGTTTGTAGGCATGTCGAAACAACATCTGTGGCATGTTGCTCCCATGCTTGTAGCCATAAAAATTCATATCACATTCCATACGTTTGTCAACAGCATATAACATTCTCTCAGCGAGTGCGGTTCGTTCTCGCATACTTGCACTCGCGCTCTCTCTCTCTCTCTCTCTCTGTGTATCTTTTGACTTTAGTATTTTGTGTCGAAAAACCGGCCGGCTACACAACACAAACACACTCACGAGTTAAGCTGTAAGTGCATTGCATGGCAGTGCTTGAACGTTACCAATTGCCATTGCATTCTTTTGAAAAATTTCTGTATTCCTGCGGTGTGTGGCTAAAAACATTTTTTACGAGTTTACGGGCAAGTGCAAGTGGCTGGAGGAAATTGATTTGACAAATTTTGGCAGAAAAAATATTAATTTATGGATGAAAAAAAAATAAATAAAAAAAAAATTGAACAAGGGTATAATTTTTTGTAATGAGAAATTAATTAAATAAATTTATAAAAAAAATACTTAATTTTGTTTTAATAAACTGTGAGTTTACAGCGGCAATAAATACTGTTTTTTAATTATTTATTTTAAAGTGTTAATTGCCTCTGACAAAGTCAAACCAAGTCAATGACAAAAGAAATATTATTTTTTAATTAATATTCACCTATAATCTTGTGTCTGATCGAAGCTTTTCTAAAAAAAAAATATTCTCTACATTTTGAAAAAGAGAAGAAGAGAGAAAATAAACCTTTATTATATGAGAAAAAGCTGTGTAAATTTTATTAAAATCTGATTTTCAGTTAAACTGCACACCAGTTAAAAAATAACATATTTTGAGAAAAAAATCATATAAAATTTCACCAGCGCACTGAAGCGCTGTAAAGCGCTTTGAGATATATAGTTTGACTCGTAAAATGTTTGTACGAGAAATTTTCAAAAATTTTAGAGAATATATGTCTTTGTTTTTATATTTTTTTTATAACTATATAAAGATGGTTTATACAATTTTTTTAACAATTAAATTTTTTGAAATATGCATTTAAAAAAAAATATATATATATAAATATATATAAAATATTTTCATAAAATATTGATTTTGTTTTGAGATTGTTTTTAATTTAAAAAAACACGTGAGAGAATTCGCTGGTTTTAGATATGTAAATTCCTTTGGCAAAATAAATAGGTTTTGTTTAAAAAAGGTCACAAAATTAATTAGAAAAACTCTGCGATTACTTTACTCTATCAGCAGCGAAAATAGATTAACTTAATGCAGAGAGCATTTTGAAATTTGCTTCATGTTTTGTTATAGGCGCTATACAAAAGATAATAAAAACTTGATTTTATTCACTTTTTTTAACTTCTTCCAAGTTGAAATCGTTTAAATTTTTTTTTATATAAATAAAACAACACAAATTTGAATATATTTAATGTAAATGTTTTCCACATTAAAAATAATTCTTCAATGATTAGCGTGTGAAGATTTTCGTTTTAACAATAAAGTAACTATAAAAATCCAGAATTAAACATAAATTTAATTTTCATTATGCTCAATGCTTACTTATTGATATTTTTTAATAATAATAGAAAATTAAAGTGCGTGCTTTGCATGAACATTGCATTTTCAGTCATTGTGCGAAGTATCTACAAAACAACAAATATATTTACATTGCATCAAGGCTGCTCCCACTACTCACAAACACAAACACACACACACACACACACACGCCCTTACAACCTACCGTCATTCGCTATAAAACATTTTACAACCTTTAAAATAACTGTTATACGCGCGTAGGCAATAATAACAACAGCAAACTCACACCGTTTATAGCGAAGAATACAAAAACTTATAAAATTACTGAAATCTTAAGAAAATATTTGCACAAAAGTATTAACTATTTTAATTAGACAAGTGATAAAAGCCCAGTTACAGCACTTACAAATTGAAATTAATATAGATTTCGCGGAAAATGTGGAGGCGTGGCGGAGCAAAGGCTATTTTTGAATGAGCAGTTGAAGGCGCGGATGAGAAAATGTTGCTTGAAAAACGTTAAGCTGAAAGTAGAGTTGAAAAGTTGGCGGTAATTGATGATTATTTTTAGATTTTTGTTGTAGTTTTGTTTAAAGTTATCAGGCAGGTAGTGAAAGAAAGTGACACTTTCGAATGCAAGCGGTTTTAAATGCAAAAATACCAGAAAAGAAACGTCTTTGTAGTGTCGCACGGGACAATCAAAATAAAAGAAATTATATTTAAGGCAGTCTCTTATTTGTTGTTGTTGTTGTTGTTGTTGTAATATGTTCTTACTCATTTTAATGGGTGCTAAAAAACTGCTCTTGTTTTTGCGCGGGACAAAAATTCTTTAAAAGAAACAGAAACAGTGTTCACTGCAGCCGGGGGCTTTAGGTCCACAACTTGGCCAGACTAAAATTATTAAAAAAATAATATTTTAAATACGTTTGCTCCTTGACGGAAAATGTGTCAGCATCTCTGGGTGGAAGAAAAATAAAAATAAAACCTCTTAAAAATCAATGAGTAGTACGGAGGTGGGTTAATGCTTTAGATTATTACCATGCTCATGCGGGCATTTTGGGTTTCTTAAGTATGAAGACTTCTTAAAAGTCCTTAGCACAATTTTTTTTTATGAAAAAAAAAAATCTCAGCGATTTTTAAACTCAAAAAAGAATATGGAATACTTTAATCCTTCCAATAGATATCTCATTTAGGTGAAAATTACGATAATATCAAAAATCCAGAATTTATCGTTATATACTCAACAACTCCGCAAGTCCTTGAACTCAATTAAAATGTACTAAACTTTTCATTAAACTTCATTCCCTTTATTTCAAGCTCTCGTTATCCTCACATAAGAATCTAACCCAACATAGAGTGGCAATGCTCTGCACACAACTTTCTTAATTTTAATAATTCTTTATAATTTAATAATGAAACTTGGCTAAACGACTGCAGCTGCAATTAAACGGTCACCAGCATCGCATTGCCGAGGACCAACAGTAATAAAAGGGCGCAACAAGCAATAAGCAAGCCCCCCCTCTCCTCTTCCAATCAGCCTCTCCTTAGCCACATGGCGTGTATATATGTAAGTGCAATGAGCCGTTTACTACATTGCTTTTACTTGCAATGCAGCGTCTAAGTGACAACAATTGTTGCACCAGCAGGCATAAAATAAACTAACAACAACAGCAATAAGCAGAGCTGGCAGTAATAGTCCACACAACTAAATTGAGCCACAACAATAACACCAAACGTAATAATAACAAATAACCAACGAAGTAAGAAATAAGCAAAGAATGAAAATAATAAGAGCAAAATGTTGCTAAAATAAAAATTGGCAAAGCAAAACAGCGGAGCTCAGCGCAGCCACTACGACAGCCAACGCGGCTAAACAGCGCCAACATGGAGCGCAGACACAATGTGTGTGTTGAAGGCAACAGGCGATTTCCGTGCGCCTTTCCGCTGTGATTTCCTGCGACTCCATCAAAACGCTTGCATGCCTGTGTGCTTGTATGAATGTGTGTGTGTTTCGATTCATACTTGTATGTACGCAAACTCGTTGAAATTCGTTCGTATATCGAGTTAATAGCAACAGTTGCAAAGTCAGCGGAAGTTGAGAGTCATGCGAGCAATCTAAATAATTCTGCTGCCACTTCTGTTGACATGATACTGTTAGAATACTCATTTGTACAGCATGTGAGAGCGTAAGAACGCCGCTGTTAAATCATATGTTCGCCACAACAGAATGTTGGAGCCAACAGAACAGTAGCAGCAACACGTGTGTGCGGCAACGCAGCGCCATTGTGGGAGTTTATGAGGCGTAAAGCAAAGCCAATATTTGAATTGAGAGTGTGGAGAACGGCAGTGTTTTGTACTCAAACATTTGAAATGTCTAGTTATTACGAAGGGTACTGTTAAATGCAGTTTTAGCATGATAATGGTAATAAAAAATTAGTCTAGTTCAGATCAACATAAAAACTTTTAAAAGAAGCCATCGCCTGACGATGTCAACCCCAACGAGTGTATTTATGACATGAAAGAAAGCCCAACATTTGGAGCCAAACAGCAAAATGTCCGAACTACGAGACCCTGTTATCTAATTTTTTTTTATGATGGGAAGGAAGGGCATGTGCAAGGATTATTTTTTTTATAATGAATAAAGTTAGATTTGGGTGCCGCCAACTTCTACTGAGCTCTCGCACCAAAACGTAGGTTAATATTTGCACATAGGGCGCAAAGAGTTAAGAGGCGGATGGCCTAAAGAGAGAGAAAAAGGTCGATCAGAGTCTAAATGCAT